TTTTTTCGTCATTTTATTGAACTTTGAATATTACGCAAAAACGAATATATGAAAATCTGGCGATTTCTTGAATTTTCGTTGTCTAATTGTGTCCAAATATTAATATGAATATGTTATATTATATTGTAGAATAATATATAACTTATATACAAATTTATATATATATAGGATATCTCATTTAATTCTCTCATTTAATAAAATATCTTTTTTAATTCATTTTATTCATTTTATTATTCATAAATTCATAAATTTAATTAATTCATAATTAATTTTCATAAAAGATTGTTTCTTTCCAAAGTCTTCGAGGTTATCAATGTTTTATTTCAAATAATTACATACCTTTTTCTTTGCATCGCATAACTTATAAAAAGATACATTCAAACGTGTATTATGGTATAAACTTCAAATGACCTTGAACCCTAAAATTGAAACAAACCCCGACATTTAAAATTCATACTTGTCTTCAGAAGAGCATCTTGAAAGGCAAGAGAAGATATGAACGATATTCACATGTTTGTTTCCTTTTTTCATGTAATAAATAACTTCCACAAGATTAAAATGAAAATATCTCCTAAATCAATCACATTTCGATAAAAATAAGTTACTACCTTGTTACAGAGAATGCTTAAATAAATCGATTACTGCTTGAAAAATTATATGATTCTTGATAATATGCCTCTTTTTATCAAACAAATTTTGTAGGAAATTTTTTTTTATAATTTCAATTCCTTGTAATGATGTATTTCCATTTTGTGAGATAAACACCCTGTATATACATAATATAAAGTAAGAGAAAATGAAAAGAATTTGAGATTAATAAAAAATACCTTTAACAAATGAACAAATATTTCTGTTTTACTTAGTATTGTATTTATATTCTTTATGCACACTGATAAACCATGTGCCTGTAAAATAACGCTTTAAATTCCTTTATTTAATATTATATTTTCTTCCCTTCCACCATCTTACATTTCTTTCCTTTCTCAACCCTCTCGTGGCTCTCTTATATCCTCAACCAGCATTCATCCTTTTCTCTCATAGACTTTTATAATCTTTGGTTTCTCTCCCACCGTGACGTTCTTCGTTACCCGCTATCTGTTTTCCTTTTTTTTCCCCCCCCCCTATCTTGTCTATTTCCTCCCTTTTGCATCTCTTTTCATTCTTCATGTCTGCAACACTCGGTTTCTTTTTACGTTATACCTATCCTCGTTGCTCCTCATTTCCCCTATTTTACCATGAAATATACCCTCGAAGAGCCGACATTGCAGAGTTGAACGTCGACATAGAGGAGTTCGGTGCTTCCCTACTGTTCTCCTCTCTCGCTGTCTTTCTTTTCCCCTTTCTCCTACCTCTCGTTGCTGCTCTCTTCTCTCCTGCTCTAGTATCAATTCTCTCTCACGCTTCGGCAATGTCTCTGGACACGATTCCACCCCTCGCAAGCGACGCGATCGATGGAGCGTCGCCCGCGGTGAGTAACCCGTCGACGGGTTCCCTTGCTTGCCGAGTAACACACGCGTAAGTATTTACGTATCCAGTCAAACTATATACACTATGTACACAAGCAGAGGCATTAAGCTTCAAAGAACGAGTAAAAGAAACAAAGAAAAAGTAAAAAAAAAGAAGAAGAAGAAGATGATGTTATTGAGGGATCTTTTGCAAATTTTATCAGCCAAATTATGGGGGAGGATTTCAATCATTTCAAAATGTATATGATTTTTGACACCTTCGTTTATGTCGCTATTATTATCCTTGGCAAAAAATATTTTAGACAAACGTTGAATGATTTCGCCGGGGAAAAAAATCATTTTTTGGTTTCTCATGAGTGGACGTATGAAGCACTTGTAAATACAATAACTCTACAAAAGTTAGTACATTAATTAATTATTAAATTAATTTTAATTGCTTTAACTTTGTATAAAGTATATCATATGAAGAATATGATATTACGCAAAAAATTAAAATTAAAATATTTCCAAAGTAATAATTTTTCGACACATGTGAGTGAATATTCTCTCTGAATATAAAGAATGTCAAATTCCACCGATCAATACATAATTCCATTTAAAAAAATCAAAGTTGACTTTCACTTTCAAAGTTCTTTATGCATCACGAATATATTCACGAAATGTCATCCTCGAAACCATTCAATTTTTATTATATTTAACATTTTTCACCAGTAGTAGTTAATAATAGCGATGTAAACGATCGAAATTAAGTGAGACACCCTATATATAAAATTTTTGCACCTAATCTTCGTAACAATTACATTAAACAAAACGTTCAACAAAATGTCAGAATTATGTATAAGCTGTGGTAATGGTAACCTTACATAAACATGTAATATGTAATATTATATTTACAAATAACATATTACATCCATATTTTTTTCTATTTTTATAACGAAAAATGGATGATATAAAAATACTAAATATATTTGTCTTACAAATGATGAAAATAGAAAACAATTTTATTTACTTTGTTATTAATATATACCTATTTTATTAATAACGATTTATCTGACCTTAAAATTTAAATTAAATGACAATATTTTTTTTCTTATTGCTATCTGTAACAACGACAAATTACCAATAGAAGTAGCTTTTGTTCATAAAACTTAAGGAAAGAATACTAAATATATAATAACAGAAAGGAATGCATACTAATTATAGAATCATGTATAAGTTTATTATTTAGTATGTTAAGCATGTCAAATAAAGATGGTTAATATCTGTTTATAAACGAATTTTTGTTTTTATTTTAGATATATTTAAATAGGCTTATACATCAGACAAATATATATATATGTAATTCAGAAAAATGTAAACTATTTTCTAAGAATCTACTTAATTAAATTTTTCGCTTAATTATATTTCTGAATTTAATTGCATTTTTTTAATATTTCATTTTTATTATTTTTTTTTATATATAATAATTCATTAAAATTTATTTTTTTAACGTTAAACATATATCAATTTAACACTTTTCTGCATATAGATATTTTATTACGATTTATTACTATGTAAAGCTATTTTAAATTAAAAACTTTTGAAAATTATAATAATACTAATTTTATAAAATCAAGATTACAATCATTACTACAATCTAGATTATCTTTTGAGACTACTTTGTACAAAACTATCTCACGAGACTATCTTGTATTATTAAAAATTTTAAAGTATAGAGCATTTAATGTCTTGTAAGAAACAATTTTTATTATAAAATTATTATAAAGGAATCTAGAATATTTAAATACTTTTTTCTATAAATATGTTATTTCGTATAATAAATATTGTAACGTCTATCTTCATCATTATAATTAATAATTACATATTCGAATATATATTCTAACTTATAAAACTCATTTTTCTTATGAAAAATTCATTAAAATCTAGAGCGTATATTATATATGTATAAAACATTATATATAAGACATATATATATATAACATATGATGTATATATGAATGATTTGAAGAGTTCAAAACAATACTATGAATTGAAAGATGATAATAAGATTAATAAAATATTATTTTTTAAAATTGAAATATTTTTCGTACAAACATTGAGTTTTTAAAAAATTTAAAAGTAAATACATTTGTCTATATTTCTTCATTTCTATTTTAATCTGCGTTAATCTATTTTAATGGATAACCTCAAATTTAATATATTACACAGTATCAAGATTATACCTGTGTTTTAATTCGAAGAATATTACAAATTATAAATAATGGCATATTCATTTCAAAATAACACAATTATTTATCCCTAGTTTCGAAATTATAAATTCACTTTGTAGTAATTTTTACTAATTATTAATTCTGATTGGTTCGAATAATTTCATTCACTTGGTTTTGTAATAAGTAAAATTTAGTTAGAAATTATTACAAAATGATAAGTACAACTTCTAAAGTGTTTTCTTTGTATAAAATAATAATTGTTGATTCTTTAAAATTTAAGTGTACAATTTCCTAACATAAAATCTAGAGAGATAATAAAGAGATAACTTCAGGCGTAAGTAACAAAACTAGACTGATCTGCTACAAGTTATGTCTTGAAACCCACAGGAAATTTTAAAATGTCAACAATAACGAAAACAACTTTTATTCAACGATGGGGTGAGTAAAAATGTCATATCATATAAAAAACAAATTTTTAAAAACTAAACTTATCTTAATTGAAATAAATCATCATTTTTACAGGGAAGTATTGGAAGAACCTTTATATAGATTATAAAGAATCAGCACTAAGTGCTGCAAAGGATTGTAAGGAACATCCTGTAAGAACATCTATTTATTTTTCTCGTACGTACATTTTAGTAACAAAAGATAACGAACATTTCGACAATATTGATTTAGCATAAAAAGTTAGTATACGTTTGTTTCAAAGAATAAAAGTGCAGATTAAATATAAAAAAAATAAGATTCTTTAATACATATTTCTATTAAAGATCTTAATATTTTTTTTATATTGAAAGCTTCGTTTCATTAGTTTTAGCATCTTGTGCGTACCTGCATAAACATAATCCAGATGAGTGTTCCTTCAAAGAAGATTTATTACAAAATACCATGAAAATAATGCAAGTGGGAAAAGCTGTACGTAATCCAATGTGTGAAAACTATGTACAATGGTTAGGACAATGTTACAATGAAGGAATTGTACGACGGATGAATTTGGGTATAATTTCTTTAATTTGGTTAGACGATTATGATAAAATGTGTTCTTTATATAAAGCTGTTTGTCCTTACTTAAAAATACGATATTTAACATTTTATCAAAGAGTAGTAGATATTGGATTTTTGGATAAATGGTGGATTTTAGAAAACAAAATGGAAGATTATGATGTAAATGAAGCAGAATTTAGTAATGTAACACATGAATAAAATAACTAATTCAGAATAAATTTAAAAATATCTTTACTATCATGAATGTTATTAAAGATTAGAAAAAGTTACTTAGAAAAAATGAAAAATGCAAATTTGTAATAAATACAAGTGAACATGACAATACTAATTTTTATTGATTTTCTTGAAATCAAAATAATTCTATGTATTAATATTTAATTGTATGCTTTAAATAACTAAATAACACAAATTTTAAAACAATGCTTTATTATAAACATTTATAAATATTAAAATTTGATATCAAAAATATACTATGTTGGTATCAAAACATAAAATATTTTTCATCACATTATATTTTGATCACAAAATTATTGAGTACGTTTTTTTGAATATGATTTTTCTTGATATGTTCTATTTTCCTGATAATTTCTATTTTAAAATATCACGAATATCTTGTTTGTACTTCTTTTTTAAATAATTTGGTATTCTTTACAAAGTTTTAAATTTTATATATATATTATGTATTATACTACTTAATTTTCTTTTACTTAATACTACATATTCTTCTAAACTTTGGTAGGAAAAATAACAGTTTATTTATACATAGCATTCTAAAATCAATTCTTTTGTCCATGTCTACAAGACAAAAGCTTATGATAAAAGCACTTAAGTTTCTGAAATAAAGAAATTGATATGAATTTATTATTATTATTTAATTTATTATTATTATCATTATTTAATTTATTATTATTATTTATTTAATTTATTATTCAAACATCAAGTAATATTATAATGACTTACCTCGAATATAAATAATAGCTGTACGACAAGGAATGTAAATCATCATACTATTTGAATAATCGGAATATGGTTCTGGTTTGGTAAAATGTTGTACATTAGTATCAACACGGCTTTCTCCACCAAAATCTTTGTCATCACTGCATAAAAGAATTTTATATGTTCCTGTAGTTTTTACTCCAATAGTATAATCAGGAAATGACTTGACTGGATGAAAATTAAACACAAATATAAGGTCTGCTCGATCGAAAATAATTACTTTGTCCTCTTCGTGTTTCCAACTTACATATGCCTATAAAAAGTTCACATATTTTTATTAATGGAGTCAATACATAGAAATATTTTTATTTAGATCTTACAGGCTGAGCATGTAGCCATCCATATTTTTCTTCAAGAGTATTTACAGCTCTATCCCAATTGTTCATAAATTTGTATTTTAGTAACTCGTCATCTACTAAATTCCACTGCCTCCTAGCATAATGGTAACTATCTGCGTTACCAGCTCGTGGAAAATCCAACCATTCAGGATGACCAAATTCATTACCTAACAATTTAAAAAATTTATAAAAGTTTACAACTAAAATATCAAAAATTTTAATTACAAAAATATAATTTTTAAAACTAACCCATAAAATTTAAATAAGCTTCGCCTCCTAATGCATGTGTGATTAACATAATGAGATTATGAAGAGCAATTCCGCGACTTATAATCGGGCTAGATGGACTCAGTGTACTCATATGTGTATACATTTCTTTGTCCATCAGCCAAAATGCAATTGTTTTATCACCTACAAGAGCCTGATCATGAGATTCTGAATAAGCTACTGCTTTTTCCATCCATCTTCGATTCGTTAATGTCCAACAAATATCTCCAACTTTCCAATCTTCATCTTTTACCTCTTTTAAAAGTTTAATCCATTTATCAGGAATAGCCATAGCTAATCGATAATCAAATCCTAAACCACCTTCAGAGATTGGCCTTTAATATATTAATAGAAAAAGTATTAGTAATTAATTTACAATAAATTTTTGCAAGAAAGAAAATTTATTCAACATGGCAATCTTAAAACATTTTATATATGTGATACCTGCAAACTCCAGGCATTCCACTGACATCTTCAGCTATCGTAATAATTTCTGGATATAAATAATGCAACATATGATTTGCAAGCATTAAATATACTACACCTTCAACATCAACATTAAGACCATAATATTCGTCATAATGGCCACTAAAACCTTGGCCAAATCCTCTTGAGTGATATAACATTGATGTAACCCCATCAAATCTAAAAAAAATTAATATAAAATATTATCATCATATTATTAATGATAGGGAGAAGGGGAGAGAGAAAGAGAGATTTTATGAACTGATTCAACATTTCAAAATGTTCTATTTAATGTTATTTACAATACCATGTTTTGTATTATGTTATTTTGTACCTGAATAACCTTCACAGGAGATGCTCAAAATATTTATTTAATGTATATTTAGAGAAATATAATCATTGTTGTGGTTATTTTTTCAACTTCATCTTCTAATATTTCTTAAATTTGTTGAAATTTTTGTTCAATTTCGTATTAAAATCTACAATTTTCCTATATTTTAAATAAAGATTGTTAGCTCTAAATAAATTTTAATTGGATGACTAAAATTCCAAAATAACAACGAAATTATGTACTTATTCTGTTAATTTCAAAGAATGATACCCTTTCCTTTTTCTCTGCTTATTTTGATTTTTTCTTTCCTTCTTTTTTTTGCATTGCAATTAGTTTCCTTATAATAAATCTATACATAAAATATAAATTTTGTCTTTAATTTTATGTAGAAAAATATGAAAATTACTCACATCTAGACCATTAAATTATGCAAGTATGTAGGATACATGAATGAAATCAATTACAACATAAAATTTGGTATATCTCGTAAACAAGATCAAATGGAACATATGCTTTCATAAAATCTTTTCATAATAATATAATAATGTAAATATATAAATTCTATACGATAAAGCGATATATTAATAAATAAATACCTAAATCCATCAAAATTATATTCTTCAATATACCAACGTAAATTAGATAATAAAAATCGCAACACTTCGTATTCTCCATAATTAAAAAGTCTGCTGTCCCAAAGTGGGTGTTGACCACGATTACCAGTGTGGAAGAAACAAGCATCAGTACCATCGAACACATTTAATCCATCTAATGTATTCTTTGATGCATGTGAATGCACTATATCCAATAAAACATATAAACCATGTTGATGGGCTGAATCTATTAAATGTTTCAATTCTTCTGGTGTGCCATAACGAGATGAGACAGCATAAAATGAAGTCACCTTATTAAATTTAATGAAATACATTATTATAAGATCCAACATTCATGTATATTAAGAAATCTTTTAAAATTCTTATCTATAGATACACACCTGATATCCAAAACTTGCATAATAAGCATGTTCCATAATAGCCATCAATTGTATAGTATTATAGCCTTGTTTTACAATACGAGGAATTATTTTTTCTGCAAATTCTAAATATGTGCCAATTTTTAATTCTTGAGTGGCAATACCAACATGACATTCATAAATTCTGAGACTTTCTGGTTTTTTTGGTTTGGGATATTTAAATTTGTAAACCTAAATAAAAATATGTCACTTTAAAATTTTAATACTTACTGTGAAATAAAATTAATTAAAAATAATGTAAACTTTTAATTATATAAAATAGTTATCTATATATACATATATATATATATATATATACATTTTCAGGTAATGGGTACCATAAACGTTGTTTATATGTAACACTTTCTGAACGATTTTGTGTAACATATGTAGCCCAAGGACTCAGTCTTTCCAATAATCCATTATTATGATCTTTTACAATTATTTTGACTTCTGAAAGATGCTTTATAGGGCAAGTACCATCAGCATTAGGTGGTAAATGTAATTCCCATTTTCCATAATCTAATTTTTTATATGAATTTGCTGTTTTGTTCCAATTATCTGATAATAAAAATATAAAATATCTTTATGTTTAATACACATGTTGTTTTGATACATTTTTTTATAGTATAATGTCACTTATTATTTAAGAATATGATGAACTGCTAAAGCAAACAAATTAATTCACATAATATGCAACGAAAATATAAAAAAACATGTAATAGATATAAATTATATTTAAAATTATATTCTATTACAAAATTTGCAAACATATTGTATACCATAATACTAATAAATCATATAAAAATAGTTATATATTATGTATATATTTATGTATATAAATATTATATATTATGTAAATATTTATGTATATAAATATACATATAAATATACATATTATATATTATTATATATTATATATTATAATAAATATATAAAGCTATTTTTTTAGTACATAACGAATAATGTTACACAAAAATTTTCAAAATATCCATTTTGTGCTAACTATATAATAATACAAATTCTATTTTTATTTTCCTTAATGAACAAAGATTGTACTATTGCCAAGCACAAAATGAACATTTTAAAAACTTTTTCTAACAATTGTGGAATACCATTATGGTTCATTATGTAACAAAAATATAACATTAAAAAGTGTAATTGTTACTTTCATTTCACCTTATTATCTTAAAAATAAGTAGAACAATTAAACAATTTTCATTCGTATCACTTAACTTTTTATCTCCTATTTTATCAAATATCTTTTTAAGGAAAAATCCTATAAAAAAAAATTTTTCATACAGAAATTTCTTTCTTACCACAGAATAAGAATCTGCAAAGAAAAGTATATCTTTCCATTTAAAAAAAGAAAGTTCAAATAACTTTGAAGACACCTAACAAATAAAAAGCAAATATGACAGTTGTACTTCCCCTTTGGAACTATGAAACTTTTATATTAAACATTTTTTTCCAAAAAAGTGTTGTTTTCTTTAGACTGAAAATTTTTATACAAACACACTGTATAAGGTGAGTCCTAGAAAATACCTAGAACAAATCATTTCTCTTTTGGTCGAAAATTTTAAAAGAAGAAAAAGGATGATTATTAAGGATATTTTTATAACCATATTCTTTTTTGCAAGTGTGATACACATACGTTTTACAATTGCATTATTACCTCTTTATCCTAGACAAAAAAAATATTAAAAGAATATGGTCAAAAATTAAATACTTTAAAAGATATTTTAATTTTATAGAACTTATCTAATATGAAAAATAAGGAATGATATGATATACCTGTACTATAATAATATAGTATTCCTGTATTTATTTCTATTATTATTTTCTTTTCTATTTCACATTCTGCAAAATTGCAGTTAAAATATCTTTCGAGTCAAATTTTCAATTATGTTCTTATATTATATTCTCTACATCTTAGTATTTGTTTTGTAGAATAGAGACATGATTCAACCTATGCAAAAGAGGATGTATATACATTGATCGTACTTGTAGAATGAATATAATTGTTAAAATCTAGTCCTTTTTAAATCATTCATCTTTTTCTTCTAATATTTTATTTTCATTTTAGTTCAATCAGAAAGGAAACATAATTTGTTTCACTTGCACGACTCACCTTGTACATAAAATCCTATGAATAAAACATTGAATTAAGAATGTTACAAAAAATATTTCTAAATTATTTTTTTCTATTTGTTTTTTATATTTATTTTTTATTTTATAAAAATATAAATATAAATAATATATGTATAAACTATTATATATAAAATTAAATACATATTAATATATATAATATTAAACTTTTCTCAAACTACCATTTGCTTTACTTTGATTTTTAAATCAAAATTATAACAAAAAATAAATATAGTTTACATTTTAAATAAATACAGTAATACAATTAAGGATAATTAAATATTTTTCTTTTTTCATTCTTCATTTTAGTCAATTAAATACTTAATTTGTTTGTTACCAATATATTATTACGTTATTTATATTATGTATATATAAGTTATAATTCTAAACTACTTACTAAATTCCCCTGTTAAAAATAATTCCTGTGCACCAGGTGCCCATTCTCTTGCAGTAACACTATTGTCTTCATTTACATGAATTCCAAAACTTTTGTAACTTCTTGAAAATTTATCCAAAGTACGATCACTTGTTTCTATTTTTTCTACATAATCTTTAAATAATGCATACCTAACAAAAGAATTATTTTAAAATTTGTCATAACAATTTTTAAATGCTACTTTATATTATATTTTATTCTGAATTAAGTTAATTATTTTAATATATATATATATTAAATTATTTATATTTTATAATTTTAATTATTTATATTTTATAATTTTAATTATTTATAATTTTAATAATTATATATATATTATTTTACATATGTTTAAAAATGTTATATATGTTTAAAAATTATATATATTATTTTACATATGTTTAAAAATGTAATACCTTTTGCGAATCTCATGTTCATAAGGTTTTAGATAAGGATCTCTTTCCAATAAAGTATTTATTTCTGGAACATCGACTTCTGAAGGATCCATGTTTGACCATCTTCCTCCCATATTTTTATTTTTTTAAATATATTTAAAAAATAACGACAGATCTGAAGTACAGTAAGACTTCCTACTTCACTTGAATGTAAGTAACACTTCAAGGTGACCCTGTGTATAAATTTGTCCATGGACCATCGCTACCGGTCAAAAGGGAGAAAATTTTACAAAATACAATGAAACAAATTTTTAAGAGTGGAAGCTTTATAAGTTGAGATTGCCTATTAAATATGGCGAATAATTTACTATGACTGGCGCTAATTTTAAATTTTTATTTTTCGTGTATACATTATCTAATACGATCCATTGATTTTAATGACTTTAAAATACGTTGTCAAGTATAGATTATATTTGCAAATATCTCGGAAACTATGATGGTACATGTATAAGGCAAAATTGTTTAGAATAATGACTTTGGACATATTTCAAATATTTCAAGATCGTCGAAATCCGTCAGAAAACCTCTAAAGTAAGTAATTATTTTTCTACTTAATATGTATTATAATATTAAATAAAAAATAATTTAAAAAAATTATGACATTAGTGACATATAATTATTTACATAGTATTATTGTTATTATTACATAGTATTCATATTTATATCTATATTTACAAATTAAATCATAAAAATTAGAATCGGTAAAAAAAATAGTAAAAAAATGTAGAAACAATACAGGTTATGCATTGAAATTGAATGATTTTACAAACAAAATTTATTTACAAATCTTCCATCTTGTTTGTCATATAAATAAATTAATACATATATTTTTTAAATTTTTATTCATATTTTGATTTTTATCGTCTAAATGTCAATGTACATTTTCAGAAGTAAAGTGAAGAATACATTTATTTTTATACAAGAAACGCTAATATTATAACAATTATTACGTTACTTATCCTCAGAAAACTGTAGTAAGAAAGGTTAATTCAAGAAAAAAATTTTTCAAACTTATATAAAATATTATTATTAATTTTCTTAATCCAAAAAGTTTAAAACATCATTTCACATTTGTAAAGTATATAAGAATAAATAAACATTATTAAACATAATGAAATTCTAAACTGAGAAAATTCAGAAATTACAGATACTTGAATGTTTAAACTTTGGTCCATCATTTGTTTGACTAAATAAATTGATAAATTTACTTACTAAAAAAAGGAAAAGATTTCTTAAATTATTAAATAAAGTATATATAAATAAATGGTATAATTAATAAAAGAGTAATGCATAATTCTTAATATAGTCCTCACGATATTAAAATAATGAATGATTATTTTTTATGTATAAAATAATTAAATGATTTCCTTGCAATACTAAATTATTGATACAGAAACAGAAACAAAAAAATGTGAATATTTTGAAGATTATTAATCTTTTTATCAACTTTATCAAAGCTGAAGTTTTTAATTATCATACTACGATAAATGCAAGGATTTATTAAATTCGCTGAAATTAATTAGCGCCTGGCTAAATGTTTGAATTCTTGCCTTATTACTGTTACAATAACTTCTTTTTTCTAGAAAATTATTTGTTAGTGAACTTTTTGTCTGGAATTTTGTTTAGTAATATAATTTGTAGAATTATTTAACGGTGTATTATCCATGGAGGTATCTGAAATATCTTCACTGCTGCTGCTACGAATATCGCCCTCCATCTGAAGAATTGCAAGTATAAATTTTTAATTTCAAATATTTTACATATTTATCAAATTAAGTCAAATAAATACATTTAATTAAAATATATAAAACTTACTTGACCAGCATAGAAAGCGTTATAAGCGATTTTAAGAATTAAATATGTCCAAATCATGTGAAGGAATAACAATAAAATTAGTAAAGAATTGAAAATATAATATGCTGGGAACATAGGTACTATTTTAGGTGCCTTTATCGAGGTACTGTAACATTTAATATAAATTGAAACAATTTTAGTTGTATTGAAACGTATTAAAAATTAAGATAATTGATACACACCTATAAATTATCCAAAATGGATAAACACCAATACGTGTAATAATCCACAATATTGTGAAAATAACGAATATACAATCGCATAATTTTTGGTAGTTAGCATATTTAGCCATTTTTGCAGCCTGTAATATATACATATATTTTGTATTACATATTATATATTAGTAATTTAAACATGCTATACTTACTTCTAGAAAAATATCTGCACAGTCATGTACTAATAACACTAATGAGCCAATTCTAGTTAGATTTCCAACCCATGAAAAGCACATTAATACAATAGTAGCTATATGGTGAATAAACATTTGCCAAAAATCCTTTCTTTTTACATCAAAAAATTGAGAAAAACTTAAAGACCAGTAAAATGCCATTGATATCATATAGTACCACCATATATCATTTGAAACTGGATGATATGGATAATTGTAATAACAATAATTTATATCCCATAACCATGGCTTGTTCCATAAAATAATGAGTCCATAAAGAAATGAGTATATATAATATAAACATCGCCAGCTGTAATAAAAGAATTAATTATATTAAATAATATATAAACTAAATATATATACAGTAAATTTTTCACTATTTTATTTTGAAAAACTAACCTGTTTTCACAAAATTTTGTAAGTGTTGATGGCTTATCCTGAGTACGTCTTAATCGCAACCATCTTTCTACTTGTCGTTCAGACCAATCTAATTGTTTAGCCAATGCCAGGATCTTAAAATATATCCATATATTACAAAAAAAAACATAACATTTAATTTCTCAGTTACTTTGACTTAAATTACAAGAATCTGTTTCAAGAACCTAATGTTAAACACACAATTTAGAATTGAACAAACTTTTGATATATATAACATTGTTGTTTAATATCATTATGTATTGTAGAATAACATTGATACATTATAATTACCATAATTTTTTGTTAAATAATCATAAACAATTTTTTTTATTATATATTGACTAAATGAAACAGTTAATAATAAAATATCCATTAATTAATAATAAAATACCATTAATTATTCAAATAGTTATTTCTATAATGAAATATGCAAATAAAATAAATTAAAATAACACATTTACAATTATATTTTTATTTGTTGATATTTTATTAAAGAAATATTGGAAAGAAAATTAAAATTGCATGAACTTACCTGTTTATGTTTAATTTTTCTGCTACGATAGGCTTTTTCTAGTATTTCATTTGGCGCAGCTTTCTTTGTTCTTGTATTTTTTATACCAAGAGACTTACCAATAGGCGCAAAACAATACCTAAAAAGATTAAAAAAGCATACAATTTTAATTAATTGAAACTGACTTTACATGCAAGACCTTAGAATGTCCTTGCAGAGTATCATGTTTCTGTATATAGAAATATTATTCTAATATATGAAAAATTATGTACTTATTACTTCATTTTATTTATTTTACATTGACTATTTAATAAAGCACTTAAATAAAGTCTTTCAAATAATGTAGGATATAAACATTTACTTACAGTATAACCTTAGTTCAATTATAAATTTCGTAAAGATTTCATAGTACGAGTAAAGAATATATTAACAAAAGAACAAAATGATTACCTTTCTAAAGCATATCTGATTATCAAAAGAATAAATGCCATAGGCAAAGGATAAATTAAGTGTTGATAGTCTGCATATTTATTCTCTGAATTTGGTTTGATATCATCCCACGTTATATTAGGCGGTAACCAAACATCAGTTGACCAAAACGCCGACGATACATTCTTTAATATATCCATTATTAGAATTCCTGCAATTAATGATTAAATGTTAAATAATCATTAAATGTTAGTAAATCGAAGTAATAAAAAAAATATATATAGGTACTTTAGACTGCTTTAATAAAGGAAACTTCAATTATCTTTCTACGACTGCACGCCACCGGGCTACCGCTCGAAACTAACTGCTAGAGCCTATAGCTTCAATGTATGTATATAGGTACATACATATATATATATATATATATATGCTACATATATAACTGAGCTTTCCTTTTGACTTCTTTTCCTATTTTTGATTTCAAATAAACAAATATATTTTTTTTTTTGGCCTAAATTTTTATCTAAATTCGATTACTCATAAAATCAATATCTATTTTCATTATGGAACTATAATTCACGAATACCACATACACATTAGATGTGTATGTAACCATTCTGATAACAAATATTTCAAACATGCCCATAACCTCGTGTTTAATTTCAGAAAAAAATAGTATTATGAATATAATTTGTCATTGAAAAAGATTCGTAGAAAAGAATATTTTTAAAAATTATCAGATATTTAATATTTTTATAAATTATTTGTGTTTTGTATACATTCGAATTACTTGTATTGTTATCATGAAATTTTATCACTAATTTGTATAAAATTATCAAAATCTATTTTAATCTCTTGATATCGACTCAATTTTGGCTTCACATTATTGCAGTGCCGTACGAAGAAAAAATAATACTTGATCTTAAACTCATATGATTCTTGTATCATAAAAGTTAATAAAATTAATTATCATTTCAATAAATTTCAAAGAGTTAAAAAGTATTATTAGTAAAATATATTAGCTTGATTTTATTTATTAAAACAGTATAATAATACGTTATAAAACAGTATAATATCCAAAAATTCTGTTCGGTAATTTAAAAAAAAATATGAGCATTTTTTTTATCTCTAATACAGATATAAGATTTATATTATACGTAAAATTAAAAATTGAAAATATTCTGTTTTTCACGTGAAACTTAAATTATATTTATTTTATTAAATGAATTTAGTAATTTTTTAATTGGCAGAATATATTTATATTTTATATATCTATTTATTTCTCGATTTTTAAATCTCAAATTGCTATATCGCAATAGTAGTATCATAATAATTAATCATAGTTTTAATCATAATTCGCGATTATCAGTGTGATACAATCGTTTATTGAAATTAATGATTATCAACTTTGATACTACTATTGTGATATGTGTATATACATTGTTCACAATTGCTATTACATTTTGTATGTTTCTATTTTATGTAGGCACATATTTTCAGTTAATTTCTATTCGTTATAAAACGAATTCGTTATAAAACGACTCATAAATATAAAAACAATTTTTTACACTAAATCGTAGTACAGATAACGATGTTATTAAACAAACAACATATATATATATATATATATATATATATACATATGTAACTATTTTCTATATCTTAGTTTATTGTATTCTTACATTAAAAGCAATCTCTCTGAATACTGATTTCTCTTATCGAAAAATATTATTGTGCGCATTTGCGATTAGTAGGATATCGTTTCAATAAACGTTTAATTATACGTTGGTAGATACGAGTGTTTTTCCTTTCATGAGGCTTTAACAATTCTTGTTTCGCTGCATTAATTTTTACTGTTTTTCGTTTAATACCCGGTGTATGAACTAAAAAGGCACCGTCAAGTATAATTAGTCGATAATTTAAAAGACACATCTCGAACATCTATAAAAAAAATGTTGAAAAATTACTATAATACATACCGAAAATTTTATATAACATAATTCTGTTCCTTTTATTTTATTAAATGTTGCCATATATTCCAATACCTGACTCATTTTGTCCTGTCTGCCTTCCCAAGACATTTCTTCAGCATAAAAGGGATCGTTTTGCGTCCCTATGAATACAGGTTCCCATCTGTGATATGGATATTCCCTTTTCGTGATAATAAGAGGTCTGACTTTACCCGGATCAGGTCTAATTAACCATCGAGCAAGTCCAGGAAATCTTTGACAATGTGAGCAAAGAAATCTATAAAACAGGACTTTGTTGTAAAACCTTCTTCGCAATTCGCAATTCGCAGTATATATAACAAGCAATCCTCTAGTATGAATTTTGTAAAATCATTCTTACGTAATTCTAGTTATACCTATGAAAATATACAGCTAAACCAGCCTTCGTTGCTAAAAGCAATTCTTTTTTTGTTAACGGCGGTAGTTCATTTGATTCTATTTCAAATACTGGTACCACAAAAATAATCCCGGCTTTTGGCGGCCTTTCACGGACAATCTCCATAAATCCAGATGCTAATTTCTGGCTAGGTAGTAACTCGATATCGGTTACTAAAACACGAATAGAGTTTGCTTGAACTCTAGCTACATTTCTAGCTACGTTAATAGGATAAATCATGCTTCTTTTCTTTCTTTCAGTTTCTGCATCTCCTTTCTGAAGATCAGACGCTGCACAATCACCTTGAACTTGAACCTGAATCTGTTCTAAAGCTGGTGGACGACCCGCCGGAAATACCAGGTGTACAGAGACCTGTAAGAGAGTATACACGTTGAAATTATAACACACGCGATTTCGTGTATTTAAATTTGTATTTAAATTATACACGATGTAACGTTTTATTAATTTGAAAATAT